AAGTTAAAGGAACTCTGATCCCCTCCATGCTGTTAACAAACATCAAGCATCGTCTACCATATGCAAGGAGCTGCACTTTCAGCATAAACAGGATACCTAACGGGGAGGTAACCCTTCCCCTCAACATGTGGTCGTCCTTCTGAGAGTGGTACAAAAATGATACACAGTGGTACGTGAAAACTGTGATAGGAAGAGTCCATTGAAAGTTCTCCTGGAGTTCAGAAGGGGTGCAATTATGCATGAGCAAAGTTTCACAAAGGACAGGAATATGAGTGAGATCTTGAAGGATGGGAGGATTTTGGAAAGGGACGCGAGGAGGGGAAAGGAACAAACTGCGTGAGAAGCCAAGCAGACAAAGCTAGCTTGAATAAATGATTTACAGAGTAAACAGAAGAGAGAAAAGGCTGAGACTTTCAAGCACCCGGCTGGGAAGGCCTGACTTCCCTTTAGAAGCCATGAGCCTGGGGAGGAGTTTGGCAGGAGATGAGCACTTCTTTAAGGCAATGTGGAGGATGACCTCAAGGCAACTACAACCTGTAGACATGAGACAGAAAGGAAGGGTCAGCAGTATGTAAGGGGACCTTCAAGATTTGACTCTTGCCTACCTAAAAGAGCCTCATCTAGCCCCACAACCTCATTCCCACTTCACGCGCCAGCAACATGCAAACAACAAGGAGTAGACACACACACTCTGCTCCCTCAGACCTCCCTGCTAAGCTGCCACTGGTCTCATTGAGAATGTTCTCTCTCCACCACACTGGTCCACACAGCAATGTTCTACTCCTTCCAATCTCCACTCAAATGCCATCTTCCCCGTAAAGCAGTTTCTGACTCCCCCAAGCCAACTTAGGTGCTCTTTTCCTAGGTGTAAGCTGTAGTCAGTATATAGCTCCATCATAGCAGCAATTTCTATGTGATTATCTCTCACCTAAATTATAATGTCCTTGACGTTATCCCCAGAGCAATTTTTGGCACAAAAGGACAATATATGAATAAACGGATGAACGAACAAACTGACTGGTCGTGTAAATAAACAAGAGAAAAAGGGAAGGAAAGTAAAAATATAAAAGAATTACAGAAACTTGACACAGCTTAGTGATAACTAAATGTAGGGTAAGCAAGAGATGGAGAACACCAAGCTTCTGAGTTCTATGCCAGAAGCCCACTTCTCTTCTTCCCTACTTTTATACTATCAGCTTAAAAGTACTAAACATAAACTCGTGGGTTTAAAAGAAACAAAGAAGGGGGGCTGGCCCAGTTATGTAGTGGTTAAGTCCACTCGCTCTGCTTTGGTGGTCTGGGGTTAGCAGATTCGGGTCCCAGTCGCAGACCTACACACGGCTCATCAAGCCATGCTGTGGCGGCATCCCACATACAAAATAAGGGAATAGACTGGCACAGATGTTAGCTCAGCGTCAATATTCCTCAAGCAAAAAGAGGATGATTGGCAACAGATGTTAGCTCAGGGCCAATCTTCCTCACAAAAAATAAATAAATAAAAAGAAACAAAGAAGGAATCATCAGGAGACAGAGGCAGAAGAAGAACCTAGAGAGAGCAAACACTAAGATTCATATTTTAACTTACCCATGTGCAAATATTTTCTTGAAAGTTTGATAGAATCTTGATTCAAATTATAATTTCTTTAATCAAAATTCTTCCCATATTTCATAAATACACTCTAATTTCAAGGGTCTAAAAAAAACCCTACCATGTTAATTACTAACTAAAAGGACATAAAAATCATTTTCCCTTTTTAAAAATCAGAGTTTAACAATGAAATTTTTTTTTTGAGGAAAATTGGCCCTGAGCTAACATCTGTTGCCAATCTTCCTCTTTTTTTTTCTCCCCAAAGTCCCAGTACATAGTTGTATATCCTAGTTGTAGGTCATTCTAGTTCTCCTATGTGGGACGCCGCCACAGTGTGGCCTAATGAAAGGTGCCATGTCTGTGCCCAGGATCTGAACCGATGAACCCCCGGCCACCAAAGCAGAGCACACAAACTTAACCACTCGGCCACAGGGCTGGCCCCTGAATGTATTATCAATTCTACCAAACTCTTACATCTGAATTATTAGAAATCTAAGATTAGTGAAATTGGAGAATGCAAAATGGAAATGGGGAAAAGACTAAGCAACAATAAGTTAGTTTTTAGTTTTCAAGGCACTTGAGGTTTTGTTTCTGGTTTCTCTTTAATAGTAGAGAAGTGTTAGGTACTCATAAAATGACCTAGTTATTAAAATAAGATTTATTAGAATATTATAATTATAGTAGTGCACACTTTAGAGCACTTAGCAACATATTTAAGGACAGTTTAATTGACCAGAATGCAGCTGCTCACCAAACTCTACATCTAATCATCAAAGGGCTAGTCCAGCAGCACTCTGATCTGGTCATTGTGTGACCAAAACAAAGTAACTGTTTTAATTCTAATTAAGTCCTGTAGACATTCTCACAAACCACACAAGGGTATTTACATGGTAAGTTATAGAAGGCCTCTAATGGAGAGTGGTGAGCTCTTGAAGAAAATGGAAAAGAAAAGCAAGCAGTGGAGGCACAGGGATGAAGTTATACATCCGGACATGGCATCTGGTAGAACTGTGCCTGCAGGCATCACACACTTCATAAATATTTGTCCTTTGATTTACCAATTTTCTTAGGACTAACGTCAGTGTGAAAAACGCTAAAATGAATTTTTATTTTCATTTTCATTTTCTACTGCCTGTCATCATCTTATAAATCCAACGCTGTCTAGGCCAATGCTATCTTTGGCTATGGGACAGCCTGCAGCCCAGCCGCCAGGAACAGGAAATCTTCTGTAGGGTTGAGAAGCCTGTAAGTAAACTATTCCAGCCCACCTGCCATGCAGCCTTGGGGAGGCGGGGGCCTGAGCCACAAAGTCAATATCTAGACCTTGGCCTACCTACATGCAGCACTAACTCAGGGACTGAAATGAGCTCCTAAGGCTCCTAAAGGCGCCTCCTTCACTCCCAGGAGGAAATCTGCCACTGGCCTTTGACCTCTCTCAGCAGGAGACGTCCTTTTGGTATAAAAAGATAATCTTTCTCAAAGTAACAGTAGATGTGGCCAGAATTCTCTACCCTTATGGGAAATAAGGGTTTTCTAAATAAATATCTCCAAAGAATGCATCATGTAAGTGTTACCTTGAGACCAGTATACTCATATTTTATCAACACTCAAATCTAAACCCTCAAAAGATAACTTCTAATAATTTTGAGCTAAGGAAGCACAGAAAAGAGAGAAGAGACAACTAGAGCAGCTCTGTTTCAGGATAGCATTTATAAATTAGAGCTAGGGAACAGAACGTTAAATTTAATAAGCGCAAAGCGATGCAGCTGGAAAGAAAGAATAGCCCAGCTAAGTATGATTTAAATGGTATTGAATTAGCTGGAAGGATATCTTGATGTACTGATAGAGGCAGCATGTAAATTGGCATTTCAGCCTACGATGCCAACAGAGAAAACATGACTTACTCACATAGACGGCTATATTCTATAAAAATCCTACATGCTATTACTTTTAAAGGAAAAATGTTATAACATTTATAAGGTTGTTTAACTTAGACTATCCTGACATTAAGTTCACTGAGGACAAGGCTTACCATAATACCTGCCCACCTCTGGTCACTGTATTTTGCTTTTTCAAATTAAATTTGACCATGGCCATTATGGTCTTTGCCATTCACTCATTCGACCGATATTAAGCAATAGGCACCGTGCTACATTCTTTAGGGGATGCCAAGAGGAATTAAGTCCGCTTCCCCCAGGCAGTGTTAGGGTTTGAAATGTGTACTCCCAAAAGACGTTGAAGTCCTAACCTCTCATACATGTAAATGTGACCTTAATATTTAGAAGCAGAATCTTTGCAGATGGTCAAGTTAGGACGAGGTCATTGAAGTGCTCCCTAATCCAATATGACAAGTGTCCTTAAAAAAAAGGGGAAATTTAAACACAGAGATAAACACAAATAGAAGGAGGAGGATGTGAAGACACAGGGAGAAGATGGCCATCTATTGGTCGAGGAACGTCTAAGGCCATCAGATGCCAGGAGAAAGGCATGGAACTGATTCTCTCCCACAACTTTCAGCAGGAACTAGCCCTGCGGACACCTTGCTTTCAGACTTGTAGCCTCCAGAACTGTGAGATGCTAGTGCCTGTTGTTTAAGCCACCAGTCTGTGCTACATTTTTACAGCTGCCAGAGAAAGTAACACAGATTGGGTCACAAAAGAAGTGAAGCCAACAACAAAATTGCCATGGTGAACAGAACTCCTCATGTGAGTATAATTACAGATGCCTCAACTCAGTTAATGGGGCCAGCTTCAGTCCCTGGACCACAGATCACCACTATCTACGTCGTTCCACAAAGGCCACCACAGAAAAAGATGGTTTATACCCTATATAAGGGCTGACCCAATGGGGACCATTTAATCCTCTAAAAAGATGACTAGAAAAAAATAGAAGCAATAAAGGTTAATAGAAAATTAATCTTGGTGACCTATTTTGGCAAATCAAAGTTGTGGGACATGCATTTATTTAAGAAGAAAATGCAAAGAACATTTAGAACGGCAACTTCAGATTAGGGGACAGAGATAAGGCTTTAATTAGAAGATTCTTCAGTAGTCACATATTTACACAAATGTTGAAAAGATAAAAGCCTTCTGATAAGGTAATAAAGATGAACAATAGTAATAATTCTATGTTAATTCTGTAGAAGACGGAAAGAGATTTCAAGTGACCGTGCTGTTTCCTTACTGGTTGTTTACGGAGGCCCTGTTGTAGGTACTTCACAGACGCTCCCCAAATGCACGTTAGCTCACTGAGTTCACCTACCACAGGCCCTCTGCACCCCAGGCACAAGTGACTAAAACACATATGAGAGAATGATGTCAACGGTATAATTAAGCTGAATCACTTCTCATACAGTGACAAACAACCTGCCATTAGTCCTGCTTGTCACTTGCTGTACATACCATCCCTTTACCTGAGCATGGTGAGCTCTCTCTCCTCCACGTGTTATAAATACGTTATCATGCTGGCTGCAAAGGACCTGTAAAATAAAGGCCATCTTGTTAAAAAAAAAAACTTTAAACATCAAATTCAGAGAGCTGTTTGAACATACGTAAGCAGATGCAAGTTTTTGCTTGCAAAGTTCGAGCTGAACACTGAGCTTTCCTATTTCCAGCCATTCCAAATGACTGCCCATGCAGAAGGTCTCTGCATGGTGCTAACCTGGTAACAATCAATAAATGTGAAGGTCTCACCGTAAACACAGCACTTCAACTGCCAATCTTTCAAAGAATATTTCTGCTTTAAAAATAGTCCTTATTGCTAAAGTAACTACACCAGGGCCAGGGCCTCCCAAATCTGAGAAAGTCTAAATAAATAAAACTGTGTGTTAATTAAGGGCAGTACAACCTAAAGTATCAATCAAAAGCAGTTCAGGGGGATGACCAGTATTGGATGTACTATTTTTAAGTGTGGGAAAGACTTCTTGCAAATTTCCAGGTTGAAATAAGAGTTAGACAATTACAAGTTTCCTCTCGGAAAAGCTATTGTTCTGCAAACTATGAAATGCATCCAGTAGATATCTTCATAGTCTAAATCCCAACTTTATTTTTGAGAAAGTATTTTAAAGCCTTGTTACTCAAGTCTGGTCCATGGACCAGCAACATGAGCATCACCAGGGAGCCTGAAATGCTGAATCTGAGAACCCACTTAAGACCTAATGAAACAGAATCAGCATTTTAACAAGATCGTCAGGTGATTCCTATGCACATTAAAGTCTGAGACCCATGGCTTTGAAGTGCCTTATGAATCTGGCCTGCAATTACTAGGATCACAAGAAATAGGTTGGCTGAAACTTCAAGACTGTCCTCTGGTACCCAGGAGTTAATGGAATCATAACCTCTTTTCTTTAGTTGCATGAGTCGAGGGGAAAAAATATCCTACTAAACTCCCAAAAACCCCTTACCATTGGCTAAATCAACTTTTCTTTTCCAGAACATGTAGGCTCATCATAAAGCACACACACAAATTTGATATCCAAAAGCACAGCCAATTCTAGAAGAACTGCATTTTCTGTACACAAGACGGGCATGATAGGCCGTTCATTCATTACATAACCAGCTAGTGAACACCTATTTAGGTGCTCAGTAATAACCAACATTGTGCAAAGAGCCCAAAGTCTAGGGAAGGACAAAAATTGCAGCATGGAATGGTACCTCTAATAGGGGAAGGTTAGCACGGGAAGCCAGGCTGCAGAGGAGGGCACTGCTGCACACTTAGAAAGCATCTGATCCAGACCCAGAGTATTGGAAAGGCTTCCTGAGTTGAGCTTTGAAAAAAAAGAGGGAAGATTTTTCAAGGAGCAGCCCACCTGGAGGCACAGTACGTGTGCTGTTGGGTTAGGGCAAGTACCCAGACCAGCAATGAAAGAGTCAACTATCTCACTTAGGAAAAACACTTGATTGTGATGTTATCATTTGTTCCACTGTTTTGAATATCTGTATGCATGAACTATAAGTGTGGCAGCCCTTAGGAACAATTTTTCGGCTTCAACCCCCCTACCTGTAGACAAGGAGAAAGGGCAAACATCAAACACGAGAAGCATCAACTCAGAAGTCGGCTTCTGGAGCAAGGTGGCAGGGATAACAGAACTGCGCCTCCACACCTGCTATTTGATCACACGGAGTGTCAATGCAGCTGCAACTGGCAACACAGGGGCCATAAAGAGAATCACATTAAAGTTAATACAAAAGTCAGGAAAACATCTTCGGTAAGGGACACTGGTTATTTGGCAGGTGCACCACTGGGAGCAATAGAAGGTTCTCAGTGTGACCACAGTGGGCACTCCCGTCTGGTGTCTCTCTCTTCTCCCTGCATTTAAATAGTTCCTACCCCATCTCCTTGCCCCTCACTTACTCTTGTGATTTCTCTGACTCATTCTCCTTCTCCCTCGCTACCTTCGAGTGCCCTCCCATCTCTAATTCAACTCTCTTTTTTTTCCCTCTCAATCTGCCTGCTTTTTCACATGCTCCTTTTGCGAGAAGGAGGAGATAAGGGAGAGAAGCAATGACCACTGAACATCTTTCACCCTTTTTGCCTTGATCTTTTCCCCTTTTCTTCTCTAACATCCCCACACTCCTATGCCCCTTTTCCATGCTCTCTTTCCTTCCATAGAGTCAAATCTCTGTTATCAGCATATGGCCAGTCCTCCTAAGCACAGAGCTTAGAAATGATAGGAAAATTTCTGTATTCCTCTACTGTTTCATTGTCATATTTGGAGTTCTCAGATTCTCCTAACCTGCTGCCAGCCAGGTCAACAGTTGAGAAGAAAAACAATACTTTAAGAAAGGTAGTCAGCTAGCATTTTCTTAGGATTTTTAAAAATGTAGAACAATCCTGGGCTATTCAGCTGCTGTGCTGAAAGGGTACAAACATGTAAAACACACTAGGCAGAAGGGTTCCATTCTATCCCTGGTTTTGCCTAAGTGCATTCCCTCCACCCCACCATGAACCCAACTCTTTCTTAGTTTTATCCCTCTTTGTGCAGACCCACAAGGCCCTCCTGGAATGACTGAAATGTGCCTTATTACCAGCCCAGGGCAGATGAATGACACAGGTTGGAGTTAACAGAGTGCTTCGTGACAAAGACACAATGCAGTACACAAAAAGGCTCATTTAATGCCCCATCAGGAAGCCTTACAAGTTACAGCTTAATAAATATATGGAGACTATTGTAATATAGAAAATGTCTGGTACCACTTCCTGACATGAAATGCACTTATGGAGAACTCTCCAGAGTAGGCTGGGATATGGCAATTTCACACATATTCTTTGAATTGCAGAAAAGCAATTTGGTTTTTTTTTTTTAGGTATTTCACTCTTTTATTTTCAGTTCCTGTGAACTATCAGCAAAACTTTGTAGACAAATCTGTTTTGCTCACCCTTTTATCCCAGTCCCTAGATGGAGTATATGCCCCTGGCACATATTATATGCTCCCAAAATATTTGACGAATGAGTGAGTTAATTAATCAATCAACTGACCATTCACTATAAGTCTAAGACACAACAGAACTAAGTAGCTAGAGGAAAATACTATCACATATTAATGCACTTTGAAAATTTCTGCTAGGTTTTTGGTATTACCATCTAATCGTAAGGTTAACACAGGGTCTTGGACGTAACTGACCTCCAAGAACTAGAAAGGGAAGAAGGCTGCTTTGGGCTGGGACACTGAGCAGTCAGATGTGACAATCAACATTCTAATAGCAAATAAGAAACAGAAAAACTCAAAAAGGTAGATAAAAGTTCTCAAAAACATACAGTAGCCTAGGATAAATTAGTCAACCCCTCCGTTTGTTCCCATGATACAGTAGTCTCCCCTTACCCGCTGGGGATACATTCCAAGACGCTTAGTGGATGCCTAAAAGCTCAAATAGCACCAAACCCTATATACACAATGCTTTTTCATATACATACATACCTGTGATAAAGTTTAATTTATAAATTAGGCACAGTAAGAGAGTAACAACAATAACTAATGATAAAGTTGGCTTTTAGCCATTATTAAGTAAAATAAGGGCTACTTGAACACACGCACTGCCATACAGCAACAGTTGATCTGACAACCTAGATGCCTACTAAGTGACTAAGGGGCAGGTAGCTTATACAGCGTGGAAATGCTACACAAAGGGATGATTCACGTCCCAAGCAGGATGGAGCAGGATGCACACTACTCAGAATGACATGCAATTTAAGACTTATGAATTGTTTATTTCTGGAATTTTTCATTTAATATTTTCAGACTTCAGTTGACCATGGGTAACTGAAACCAAAGAAAGCGAAACCGTGGATAAGGGGGGACTACTGTACTTTGTACATACTCTATTATTACTGATGGTCTCATTGCACCATTACACTTCTTCATTGGTTTCTGAGTCATAGTAGGAAGTAAGGACCTGACCACAGTCCACCAAGATTTTCTAGGCAAGCCAAGAAAGGTCCCAAATGGATTCACTCTACAGACCAGGAAAGAGATTATAATCTTATCATGGGTAAGGAGAAGAGGTGACATTACGAGTTCAGCTGTGGCTGGATAGAACCCTGAGTACTAACCTCTCTGGATTCATCTTAGAATTCAGGGACCAGGTTCCCCAAAACAGGAACTGCAAGTCACTCCAAATCAATCAATCGAGTTAGAAGCAGAGGTGGTAATCTTTCATATCTCGCTCTGAATCTGTCAATAACCTAAAAAATGTATTTCCTTACATATAATCAACACTGTTCCAGAAATTGGGATTCACTTTCTTCATGTTCAAAACTATGAGAAGCTGTTTTTATCATGAACACCATTAACATCACTGGACTGAGATGGTCACCCCTCCGGAAAAGAACTCTTTAGAAACATATCCAATCTATCATATAGAGAGAACTTCCTAATGTTAACTTGCATCTTCATTGCCCCCTCAGACTTGAGCCAGTTTTAATAAATGCTCTGCACTCACATCTAAAAAAGATTCGAGCACTTAAAGGAAAACTCTGACAGCTCTAGGACACATAGATTTTAATTTAGATCTGACCCAGTGTAAAGCATCCAAATGACCCATCAATGGAAAAAGAAAAAAATAACTGTTTTAAAACAATCCCTAGATGTTACTTACATTACTATACTGCATATCATGAGACCCAGATTTGTTACCATTCAACAAACAGGGTTCTCTAATCTTAAGGAATTGGAGAAAAGATAGCATGTTTTAACCTCCCCTCCCCCAAATTTGAGGTTTCCAGCAATACAGTTCCCTAGCTATACAAGAACCACAGCTCTCTAAGTATTTCCAGGAAGCTGTATTTGCCATCGGCATTCAATACCTAAAGTTCTATAGTGATGTCTTTGCATGGGGGCCTTAAGGATGGCAAAGAGTAGGGAAGCAGGGGAGAAAAATGTGTTACCTCCCAAAGCCCTCTCTCTCTGTGATTCACATGATAGCTTTTCCAAGGGATTCCTGTTCAGTTCCTCCAGCACCTCAGCATCTTTGGATTTCTTC